CTGGCATTTATTAAATGTTATTGTGCTATCGTAACTACTTTTGATGGTAGTTGGTGACAGTATTTGATAAATTTAATAAAGAGAAAGCAGGGCTGGGGATCACTCAGCTAGTAGAGTGCCTGCCTGCTTACCATGCACAAGGCTCTAGGTTTGGTCCCCAGCATAAACTAGGCAGGAGGAACAGAAGCCAAAGGTCATCCTCGGCTACATAGTGAACTCCAAGCCAGTCTGGGCTACATGCAGCTCTCTAAATGAAGAAAACAAAAGGGGGAACAGGCCCCAGGACATTGTGACTTATCCAAGGAAGCAGCTGGTGGATAGCTATGCTGGTGCTCACAAATGAACCCAGAGCTATGCTCCCTGTGATTGCAAACCCGGTAATAGATGGGGGCCCTAGATAATCTGATGACTGACAAACTTAACACATTAGAAAGGGCCCAGAAGCAACTGTCCTGATGGTAAGCAGACATTTGCGGTCACTTATACTTCAGCTGCCTTTACAGCTCTGCTCACAGGGACTAAGTATGTGTCTGGGCTGGGCATCTACTCACACATTCTCACATCTTTCTCCGCTTTCTCTCTGGAGTGCTCTTTGCCTAGATTTTTTTCCCTCTCTTCTCTGCTCTCCTCTACTGTCCCCTCTTCTTCTCTCCCTCCCCCTTCCTTCTCTTTCCCTGTCCTTTCACTTTGCCTTTCCCTTTCCCATTCTCCATCTCTTCCCTTTCCCTTTCTGAGACAGGAACTCATGTGACCCAGGCTAGCCTCAAATTTACTGTGTAGCTGAGGACAATCTTGAACTTCCAGTATCTTGCGTCTACCTGCCACGTGCTGGGATTACAGGCATGCACCGCTGTGCCCACTTTATGCAGTGCCAGGAATTGGACCCATGCATACCAGGCAAGCATCCTGTTGATTGAGCCACATCCCTGATCCTAACTTGGTAAATTTTTGTTTGCCTGACAATGATGTTCCTTCCTAAAATATAGAATGTAGGAATGTTGAAAGTGCAACATTTTGTCCTTAAACTTAGCCTAAACAGATACAACGACTTCTGGTCCATCTGTGACCACATCTCTTGTCTTCATGCTGAAGAAGCCATTGCAGTTAGAAGCTGCCTGCTGTTCCAAAGCTTCTCCCACCAGAAGCACATCCTAATCAACTTTCTCTTCTAGTTAGTGGTTCCTCTGCTCTTCAGTGACTGCCTCTGCTTTGAAGGCTTTCCCAACTGGTGTGATCCCTTCAGCCTGGCCAGCCTAACCAACATGTCCAAAAACTGCTGGCTTATAATAGAGTGGTCCTATGTGGCTTGCCAGAATGACTCGTGCTAATCTTGGAGCTTAGGGGGTCTTCATCTCTGGAGAGTGAGAACAAACTGTAGTTGAAATTTCCTGGTGTCTGAAGGGGTCTTCCATTAAAAGCACCTCCTGACAGAAGACTGGTTTAGGAGCCATCAGCGTCTATTGATCAGAAGCACCCGTACCTGTGTGGGCTTGTAAGCACTCTGTGGTTCCCAAGTTGGGAAGTCTTTATTCGTGAATCAGAACTTACCCATGATCCATTCTTAAGTATCTGTGTTATGTTAAGAGGGCTGTGGAGTTCTTCCCTATGTGAGAGTTAGAACTTAATAAGCTGGGTCCCCACTAGATCTAATCCTTGCCTAGGCTATGAAGACATGGCTCAGTATCCAGATTTAAGGCTAAACTTCCCTGTTTTATATGTCACGGAAATCTTATGTATTGATGTACAAAACAGTGGTGGTACATGCTGGGTTTTCTCATGGACCTGGAGGGTTAATATGAATTTACAGAACAAGTTACAGATTGAGACTAACCCCCTATATTAATTGGGACCTTATAGTCCCAATCTTTTCTTGGTGTATGATTTCCATCTCAACTTCGAAACAGAACTTACTTTATTGCTTTAAATGATGCAAAAAGAATGGATCTAATATAGAAAGGGGACATCTAGCTATATTGAAGTGAGATCCCATTATTATTATTATTATTATACTTTAATATCATATATGGTATTCATCATATCAATATCTTCCTGAGTCAAAATTATTTTTTTGAGCCATTAAGATGATTCAGTGTGGGTAAAAGCAGTTGCCATTAAGCCTGATTTTCATCCTGGGGATCTACATGGTGGAAGGAGAGAACTTCAAGTTGTCTTTTATATAGCATGGATGTGCCATGGCACACATGTGAATAAACACACATATTCATACACACACACACACGAGAGAGAGAGAGAGAGAATATATGTTATACATTATTTTGTTGTGGTCATCTTTTAGTGGTGTACAAAACATGGCTATGCTACTCAGACTGGCTTTGAGCATACTAAGTTGCCCCGGCAACTGCTTTGCCTCCCAAGTGCTGGGACCACAGGTGTGTGATGTCACCACCCATCATTATTAGCTGCTTTTTCTATCCTTTCCTCTCTCACTTTCTTGCTGGATGAAGTTACTGAAATACAGTGAATGGGAAGATAGAAAACATGAGACATTGTGCTGCCAATAGTTTGTCTCCTTGTAAGAGAAGAGGTGATCGGTGCCTTGAAAAAAGACATGGCTTTGTAGTTCTGAGATCTGTCATTCATAAGGCTCCATCAGTCCAGGATGTCTGATGACCACCATGTTTTCTTCCTTACTGAGAACCATAGTGCGCTGGAGTTCTGTCAGCCATCCCAAGACATCATTGTCTGTCTGTACAGAAGGTAGGTTTGTGGGAATCCAGGATCAGTGTTATAGCTACTTAAAGGGCCAGAGTTTCTATCTGGTGTTTGAAGGTAGTATAGTTCAGTAGTGTTTCATACCTGTGTACCTCTTGGTCACCTACAATGCATGCTTTTCTGCCTGCAGTCCTAAAAATGGACTCCCCAAACTGAGTGGTTAGAGTAGAGGGAAGTGCCCTGAAAGTCTTCTCAGGAGTTCTAGGATCGAATTTCAGTTAGGCCTTTTAATATTTGGAAATACATATGATATGCTTGAATGATTATATAAATAAGATAAACATAAAAAGAATGCTGAAGGACGCAAAAGACTTACAAAAGCTTTCTGGCTAGAGGGTGCCATGTACACTGCTGAGGAAAATGCTATCAATGCAGCCTCACCATGCTGTGAGTGCGATGATGACCAGAATGGCAAGATATGGCCATAGTTGTGTACAAGGGTGGCGTGAACACTACGGGGTTAACCAATCAATCACGGGACTTAAGGCCTGTTCCACATGAGGAAACTCATGCTTGGTACTGTGAATCTGGCCAAGAGTGCATGGTTGGTGAGCACCTTAGGGATGAACTGACAACTGCTATTCTGCTAAGCGAACATAATATCAAACGACTCTCTGAATTCACATCACTGTACCCATAGGTTAGTGCAGCTCTCAGATGTCAGAGAAGTTTCTTTCTGTAGTTGAAGGAGGTTAGTGAAGCTCCCAACTGTTCAAAGTGCAGAGAGTAGGTGTCATTGGAGGGCTAAAATCGGACATCTACATCCCTCTTCCTTCTTCCCCTCCCCCCACCATCAGGGACTATCAGGAAGTGGGAGTAGGAAGACTGTAAGAGCTAAAGACAGGGAGGGCTGGCGTGAAATAGTGTTCTCTGGACAGGACGGGACCATCATACTCACAGATGGTCAGCAGGTGTGGTCACCGTCACAAGACCTGGACAAGACCAAGTCCTCCAGCATTCCATCATGGGGGCAAAGCTCAGGAGTCGGCATCCTTAACTGAGGAACTGTGGACAGTTGATGACATTCTGGGGGAGGAAGAGTCAGCTTTCTTTAAGATGTGGCCCCTGGCAGGGCAACCGTGCTCTAGTGTGTGTTCCACACCGAGGAGAGTATGGTCAACATAAATCAAAGTCGGAGGTGGGAGCTTGGTGTTGTGTCTGGGAGGAGTTGGGGTGAATGTGATCAAAATATAATTTATGAAATTCTCAAAAGATCAATAAAAATTTAAAGAGAAGAAAAAAGGGAGGTGAGGAGAGCAATTGGTAGTAAAGAATGCTTGCTGCTCTTGCAGAAGATTGGGATCCAGTTCCTAGCACCCCTATGGAGGCTGGTGGCCATCTATAACTCCAGTTAGAGGGCACTGATGCACTCTTCTGGTCTCTGTGGGCACTAGGCATGTATGTGGTACACATATATACATGTAGGCAAAACACTCATACACATTAAACAAACAAACATCTTCCTGATGGAAGAGCCTCAAACTCCGGCTACATGCCCTTCTTTGCCTTGCCACCAGTTTGATTGGGAGTGTGGTGGGCATTTTACACACAGTGGTAATAGGATGACATTGATGGTCTGGGGAGATTTCCTTGCCCAGCCTTGATTTTTTTTTTTAGCACCTTGAGGGGGTTCAAGGGTACAGGGGTCCAACTTGTGGTGTGAGGGCTGCATGTTCCCACTGATAGCTGTGAATGCAAGCCAACACAAAATCATGACCTTACTTTTAGTGTGTTTCTGATTCTTTTTAAAAAAATAACTTGATTGTATAGTTGAGCATGAGCTTTTTAGATTAGATTTTGTGGCAGTCTCAGAAGGTGGGAGGCTTTACCTTGTGACTTCAGGGGCTGCTTCTGAAGTGGGAGAAAAGGTTGAGGCATGCTTGGTAGAGCATCAGTTCTGTCTTCTGTGAGGACGAGTGTATTATGGGGTGGATGGGAGAGTGAAAAGGGCCAGACGGGCAGCTGTCACCAGGTCAGGGCAGATGGCTTCTCTCCACATACTCTGGCCTTGGGCTTCCTTTGGGCGCCTGCATCTTAGCCAATTTTAACCTAATTTCTGTTTTGCCACAATATGTCTTCATCAAACTAACTGTGCCATGAAAGGGGAGTTGTTGGGAGTTGTTTTTAAAAGCTTGGGGGAATAGGCGCAGATTAGCCTTTTTGTTTTGAAGAGCCAGCATTTAAAGCTGCGGAAGCAACCATGGGGTCAGTGGCTCTGAGCTGTGAGCAGCTGGGTAATTTCCATTTCTGTTCTATTTACTCTCCAGGTGTCTTACATAGGCCAGGACTGCAGAGAAATCCCAGAGCAGCTCAGCAGGGACTACGGACATTTTGCAAAGAGGCTTGATCTGAGCTTCAACCTGTTGAGGTATGTAACCTTGGAGAGATGCAGGCCAGGCATGTGCAGGGTCTCGAGAACCATGCAGCCACGTGCTAAAGTCTGGTGCTGCTTTAGATGACTTGTGGCTAGTCTCCTAGCAAGCGCAGCCTAAGGAGCTGGCGTTTCGGAGCACGGTTCACCTCATGACTGTGGGAGCTCTTCCTCTGTTTACTTTGTTCTTTTCCTTTCCTGTGGAAGCTTATGGAGAAGGAACGAGATGGTCATGAGTGTTTTAGGAGGGTTTAGCTTTGCTTTTTAAGAATGACCGCCTCTCCCAGAATGCATCAAATCATAGATAGGGTACATGTGTGTATTTCACCTTTGCTATTGATGTGGAGTGCTTGGGAGGGGAAGGGATTTCTAGCAAGTCTTTGAGTCTTGGCCAGAGGTAGGTGTGATCCGTATGGCAGTCCAGTGGAGGACAGCAGGAAGGCATTTCCTTCCTTCCCATGAGTTACTATGCTGGTGTGCGGGCTTAGTGGATGAAAGTTGGTGACACTTGGACAGCAGGATTTAGTGGGACGGGTGGACAGGGGTCAGGAAGGCAGCTTTTGCTCCTGAGCTGGCTGCATTTAGGCTGTCCTCTAAGTGATATTCTTCTCATTCTGCCCTCTGCGTAGGATCTGACCACCATTTTAAGACCTAGTTATGTTCCTGCTCTTAGGCCTGAGAAGCTTTGTGTCTTCCAAACTCTGAGTGGGGATAAAGAATCTGGGGGAATATTCAGGGAACGGGCACTCAGGGAACTTCCTCTTAGCAGGTAGAGGAGAATGGCAGTTTCAGGTAAACCAGCATCAACTGGAGGGTGCCTAGGAGCCAGCACGGTTTACACTGAGCTGCATGGTACGAAAGGAGTGTCTTTGGGGTGATGGGGGAGAATGCACCCCGTGTATGCAATCTCTGCCTCCCAAGGGTTCTTAGCCATGGGGCAGATGTGGAAACCTAAACATTGCAATGTCAGTACAAAAGGTAGTTAGCATAGTTGCTGCCTCTAGAGAAATCCAGGGTGCCTTGTGGTCCTAGTGTCAGAGGGAGGACGCCTAAGACAGTCACACCTTTCTTAGCTCCTGCCTGGGCTCAGGCAAGAGGTCATGTCCTTCCATGGTGCCCTGAGTTCCACATGAGTGTGTGGCCTCCAGGGGCCCAGGGCCTCATGGTTTGGGGGACTGTAGTTGCCTTGTGAATGTCTGGTGGAAACCTAGAGGTGTGCCTGAAGAGGCTTGGGCACTGTGATGGAGAGCGTTGGTGGGTACAGGTTGTGGGAGTGAGAACTGTCATGTCTGGTCATGTCTAGGGAAAGGACTGCCTGTTTGCCTCGGCCTTCTTTTCCTGCAGCTGAGAGACCCGCTAGCTGCTCAGGAGTTTGCTGCGCTCTGTGTTGTACTCCGTGAGCTCTGTGCTGGCTGGGGCTGAGTTGGAACAGGGGGACAGGAAGGAAGGATGTGGCCAAAGACTCATGGACCATGTATGTTCAAGAGCTGATTAAATCAGAGGGAGTTACAGACTAAAGGAGAGAAACCGTCAACATGTGAATTGGGTATCTTGGATTAGAACACCTGTGACCCTCATTACTTACCTGACTGGGTATGTTTGTGAAGGTGGGTGGTATCATTTCTCTTGAGCCTACACAGGCACTAGTCCTACTTGCCTTCAGTCACATAAAAATCTAAGATGTTTTAGTTACTAAACTTCCTCTTCTTTAAAAAATAATATTGAGAGAGCAGGAGAATAGAGAGAGAGGAAGAAAAGGAGGTTGCCAGCTCACATTTAAAGGATTTGGTTGTATGACAGGGAGACCTAAGTGTGCCAGGTTTCAGGGGTCAGTGCTGGGGAGATGGCTCACTCAAAAAGGAGCATGAGGCTCTGACTTTTATCTCCCAAACCCATGTAAAAGCCAGGTGTGGCAGTGCACACCTGGAGTCCCAGCACTGGGGAGGCAGCAGATTCCTGGGGCTTGCTGGCTGAATGTGGGTGTCGGAGGGATGGGAGGTTGTGGGCGGATCCTGAAGTAGCAGGGGAGTCAGGATGAGTATGATCCAAATACATCTAAGGCCTGTATGAAATCCTCAAAGAACTGATAAAAAAATTAATAAATAAAAGTCTAAAGCCTCAAACGAGGCTGGGCATGGTGGCCTGAATCTGTAATCATCCTAATACTTGGGAGGCTGAGGCAGGAGAATTCCAAGTTTGAGGTCTGCCTGCACTAGAGAGTAAGTTCAAAGTTAACCTGAGCTATATAGTGAGGTCCTGACTAAAAACTAAAAAAAAGTTACAAATTCAAATGAAGTAGTTTTGTTTTTTGCTTTTCAAGATAGGGTTTCTCTGTAGCTTTGGAGCCAGCCTGGAACTAGCTCTTGTAGACCAGGCTGGCCTCTAACTCATAGAGATCTGCCTGCCTCTGTCTCCTGAGTGCTGGGATTAAAAGTGTGTGGCACCACTGCCCAGCAAGATGTAGTGTTAAGTACCTTTTATTCAGTAGAAGTTTCTCTCTAGACACACCCCACCCCACCATGTCCATGGGGTAGTAGAGACCACATTTTCGAGTTGATTGCCTCATGGCCCCTGCCTGCAGTTATGCTTCTTGGCAGCCTGTTTGGCCCTGTTCTGTACACCTTTTTTCTCCAAAGTTATATACATTATTATTATGTACTATAGTCATAGTGTTCCCATGTGTTCATGCATGTGCGTGCGTGCGTGTGTGTGTTTCAGAGCAATGAACCTTTTGCACTCCCTAGGTTGCAAGGTCAGCTGCAATCTGTGTGTTGGGCCACAATTTGTTTTTTTCAGAAAGGAGTTCATTTAATTTTTAATAGCTGAAGGCCTACATGTTACATAACATTTCAAAGCATCAAGCTTGCAAACAATGGGATAGAATTCTGTATGTCTCTGTCCTTTGGCCTCCCATTCCTGCTCTGCACTCTTAACTAGGTCTCAATTTTTGTGCTGAGTTCTATGTCTGGAGATGTTCTTTGGAGACACTAATGTGAATTTCTTGCCTCACCCCTAGCTTTACTGAGATACATCTGCCAGCTAAAATTACATATACTTATGAGGTACAATATGATATACATTGCGATATGGTTACCACATTCACACACACATCACACATACAGAGATATCTTTTTGTGGTAAGAACATTAAAGGCCAACTGTCTAGAGAATATCAAGTACATAACCCAGCAATATTAACCCTACTCACCACATGGTAGAGTGGCCAATGATTAAATCTGGAGTTCGTTTTGGATGTTTTTCCTTCTGTTTGTGTTATGAACGAAGGCTCTAGCTTCATTTATTCACTAGTACTCACTCATGTCTTATTACTGAATCATTTTACTCTTTGAATAACATCTCCCAAATTCCCTGCTCTCAGCCTGGCAACCACCATTCTATTCTTTGCTTCCATGAGTTAGACTTCTCAGATTCCATGTGTGAGATGTATCTGTCTCTTTCTGTGTCCATCTTATTTTTACTTAGCACAATGTCCTTCAGATCCACTCACAATGTAGTAAATGTTCTTATTTTTAAAGGTGAGTAATATTCTATGGAGTTTTTATTAGCATCACATTTTAAATCCCACTCAACTGTCAGTGGACAACTGGTTTGTTCTGTATCTTGGTTGTTTTGAGTAGTTTAATAAGCATGGGAATAATCTCTTAGTGATTCCAGGCTTACTCACCTTGACAACCAAGATTAACCGTGACAATTAGTGATGGTAAAATTTTATTTATTTATTTATTTATTTATTTATTTATTTATTTATCTGTATGTCTTCTTTTGAGAAATTTTTATTTAAATCTGTTGCTTATTTATATAATGTTATTACTGTTATTATTATTATTATTTATATTGCTATTGAGTTGAGTTCCTTATATATTTTGGATACAAATCTCATACTATATTTATGGTGTCATGCTTTGGATAAGGGTCCAATCCCCAGCCTTGGGGACTCTATTTCTTGGGTACACTGCCTCTTGGAGGCAGTGGAACATTTGGGAGGTAGGACCTAATGAGAGGTTGTAGTTGGTATTTTATTCTTTTACTCTTTGGCCCTTTGTTTTTTTGTGGGGGTCACCATCTAACTCCCAAATAAATAACACACAGAGTCTTATTCTTATCTATGAAAACCTGGCCTTAGCTTGACTTGTTTCTAGCCAGCTTTTCTTAACTTAAATTATCCCATTTATCTTTTGCCTCTGGGCTTAAATCTTTCTCTATTTCTGGATACCTTTCTTCTTTCTCTGTGACTTGCTGTGTAGCTGGGTGGCTGGGTGGCTGGCACCTGGAGTCTCTCTCTCCTCCTCTTGCTCTCTCTCCCATCTTTCTTCCCAGATCTCTCTTGTTTATTTTCTCTGCCTGACAATGTTGCCTATTCTTTCTTTTGCCTTGCTATTGGCCGTTCAGCTCTTTATTAGACCAATTGGGTGTTTTAGACAAAGTAACACCATTTCACAGAGTTAAACAAATGCAACTTAAAAGAATGCACCACAGGTCAGGGAACACTGCTTGCTCTTCGAGCAGATGAGGGAGGGGGACTTGATCAGGGGAGGGGGAGGGAAATGGGAAGCAGTTGCAGGGACGAGGCAGAAATCCTTAATAAATAAATAAATTTAAAAAATAATAATAAAAAAGAATGCAACACATCTTTGTGTCATTAAAACTAATGTTCCATAGCATAAACAAGTGTAACACATCTTAAAATAATATTCCACAACAGGCGGTCTTAGGCTACTGGGGATATAAGCAGATTTCCTCTGCTATACACTTCTGCCATGAGGTTACTTTGCCATATGTCCCAAAGCAGGAGGACTAGTTGGTTGTGGACCAGAACACCCAAAGCAGGAGGACTAGTTGGTTATGGACCAGAACACCTGAAGTAGGAAGACTAGTTGGCTATGGACTAGAACACCCAAAACAGGAGGACTAGTTGGCTGTGGACCAGAACACCCAAAGCAGGAGGACTAGTTGGTTGTGGAACAGAATACCCAAAGC